TTGTAACCTTATATACGTAACAATTATGTTTTAATTGTATCCACTATACCAATAAGTCGTTGTTAAAGTTTCTTATTAATGCGAAAAGCAGCTCGTTGCTCGATCTCTAGTTCTGTCCATATCATGTGCATGTGGTGTGCATATAATGTATATGGGCATATATTGTATATGGTGGTGGCGTCATAGGTGATGACATCATTTTTCTAATTTCAAAAAGAGAGTTGTGAGCTCTGGATTTTTGGATTGGCTCAGATTTGTGAGCATATCATGTGCATGTCGTGTACATACAATGAGTAAATCCTGAAAAATTCATCCAACAAAACACCATCATTTAATGACTGGGCTTTTTTCCCACCCTCGATGCGAGTCTAGTGGTGGTGGTCTCAAGCCTTGGTTGTTTGCCGTGTTGCCGAAAAATGGCCAAAAAACTAGTAGCATGCTTGAGTTTCGATCATAACGATCGGGGATAAGATTCGTGACAAGGTTAGGTGTTTAGGACTCATGAAGATGAGATGAAATTGGTGGTGACTTTGATTTGGACGGTGTTGGTCGGGATGACAGTGCATCATGTGTGCACAATGAGAAGGGGAGAGAGAGTGCATGAAGGAGAAAGTGAGAGAAGAGAGGGAGGAAGGGAGAGAAAGAGTAGAGAGAGAAATCAGCAAATGGGAGGAAATAACCCACCCATTTATATGTGGGTATCTTAGTAATTTCAGTTTTGTGCATAGCCGATTTGTCCTATTTTTATCCATCAATTAAGAATTTGTCCCATTTTAAGATATTTCCCTATTTTCTTTGGACTCATGACAATCTATCAAACAATTTAATAAGAATTCACGACTCTAATTCTCGCTTATCTATATATCTATGATTATTTCACTCATGCTTACCCAAATATTTATGAATAGTAAACATGTCCTCTCAATTCCAATTCACCTTGTCCACGTTGCTCACTCAGTCCAGCCAACCAGTACAGTAATCCCCTTGAGCTTGGCAATGGATTTTTTTTTTTTTTTCCCGAAGAGATACGATAGTTTGTTTCATTTCATCCATATGGTAATAACCAAGTGTTACATAATAGTTCTCAGAGACTACATTTTTCTACAAGTAAATCAATAATAACACTCGGTGGAGAGGTATCCCATTCACAACGTTGGCTCAAAGTTAGTCCAATCCGTGCAAGTCGGTGGGCTATAGAGTTTGCTTTGCGGCGAGTATGGGTCATAACAACTTCAGTGATTGAATGGAGCAACATCTTGATGTCTTCCACAATTTGGCCAGCTGATGACAAATTGAGGGAAGAATCCCGTAGTGCCTCCACAATCTGAAGTGAATCGGTCTCAAGAACTAATTTTTGAATACCCTTCTGCACTGCCCAAATTATACTCTCTCTAATTTTTGAATAGGAGAGAAAACGTCTTCCAGCATCCCACATTTCGCAGCTACGAAGACGCCCTGGTCGTCTCTGATAACAGCCCCAAATCCTGACCTCTTTTTGTCATCACTCCAGGAGCCGTTAGTATTTATCTTGAGGTGCCCGACAGGTGGAGTGAGCCAACAATCCGTGATCTGGCCTTTTTGGCGGCATGGACTAAAGTGCCACTTTTGTTGAACTCGAGCCACCATTGAATTGCTTTCAAGACACAAACATCAGGGTGGTCACACTTTCCATGCCATAACTTCGTATTTCTCGCTCCCCACAGTACCCAACAGATCATGACGACCATATCGAAGCTGGATTCAACCATTTCATCCAACCAAGACGCGAAGGATGAATGGTATCTATTTCTCATTGGAACCCCTACAGTAGAAGACATCCATGCACACTTGGCAATGGATGTTAGTATTGAGTTATATGGTGAGAAATCTAAGGTTGTGAAGTCATCACTACAGCAAATGTGATATCACGATCATATGAGTGAATCATTGATGATTATGCAACTCTTGTTTTTTGGTTTTTTTCATTGCATCTATTTAAAATAATTGTCCATTATAATAGAGCTTACGCTATTGGGTGACATTCCTTGGAGTATGAGGTAACTAGAGTGTCTCCAAATGCATTGGGTGACACTGTGAGTCCTGTTGGATGGTGGTTACTCTTACACTTCATTATTGGGGCGTTTTATTGATCAGATCTAACTTTAATCCATCAAAGCAACAAGATCATTTGATGGCTGGATGTAATAAGTTCCTAGTTTGTTTTTCGTCTATTTTTTTAGCAAGTTTAATATTCTTAGTATAGTACAAGAGGGGAAAACTAGGGAAAGAGATTTCAAAGTATGGGCTTTAATATAATTAGAGGAATTCTACCATACGCTCAATACTTGTTTTTGAATACCTACCTAAATATGGAGAGTATTGCAAATGGTACACCGAAAATGCAATGAGGCAGTAGAACATACAAAAAGAGTGGTGACTTTACTATTCATTGTCAATTGGTTTTGAGTTTGATATTGGCATTCTAACATGAGTAAGATACCCCACATTTGAATTGGAGCAAGTTTGTTTTTCGTCAATTGGCTTTGAGTTTGTTTTTTGTCTATTTTTTTTCTATTGGAGGAAGTTTAACATTCTTAATATATTAACAAGAATTTTAAAACTAGAGAGAAATTAAGAAATTTCAAAGTGTGGACTTTAATATAATTAGAGGAATTCCATTTGCGCACACCACGGGTGACTTGTTTTGTTAATACTGATCTAAATATTGAAAACCTTATAAAACAATACATAAGTAAGATGCCGCACATTTGAATTGGATCAACTTTGTTTTTCGTCAATTGGCTTTGAGTTTGTTTTTCGCCACTGTCAATTGGCTTTGAGTTTTTTTTTTTTTTGTCTATTTTTTTCGATTGTAGAAGGTTTAATATTCTTAATATAGTAACAAGAGGTTAAAACTGGCTTTAATATAATTAGAGGAATTCCACTTGCATACACACACATGACTCGTTTTTTTAATACTTATCTAAATATTGAAAGCATTATAAACAATACATTAAAAATGAAATGTTGCACTAGAAGATTAAGAAAAATATTTGTGATTTCACTTTTCATTGTCAATTAGTTTTGAATTTGATGTCAAAACATGAGTATGATACCCCACATTTGAGCTGGAGGAAGCTTATTTTTAGTCAATTGGCTTTGAGTTTGTTTTTTATTATTATATTTTATTGTAGCAAGTTTAATATTCTTTTTTTATTATAGCAATAATGTTAGCTGGTTATATAGTTAATTGTTAGGGTCATGAGGAATTGGTGCATTTCCATGATTGATTTCGGTTCTCTACTTTTTGTCTTTAGTTTGTAGATATATCAATGTCGGGTCGATTAGTTTAAAACACAGCTTGATGATACATCAATATTGTATTGTTAAAAGAGATTGAGATTCATATCAAAGTGGCAGCTGGTAGTTACTTGAGTCAGTGGGACACCATGAACATAGTATGTTATTTATTGAATCAAAAAAAAAAAAAAAACAACTCGGGTTTAATCGAACAGAGTAAAAAATAAAACATGAAAGAGTTGCAATCGTGAGTCAGAAAGATTGCGATATGATGAGAGGGAAGGTTTCTACAAAAGATATGACGAGGTAAAGGAGAAACTCAGATGACCATAAATCTCAAACTAAATACAATAAAAGGGGGTCTCCAATTGTTATAGATTTTGCTATCTTTGATCTCTCAAGAAAATTTCATATTGTTATATCCGGTAAAATTCATGTTTTTTCAACGTTAAGAGTGACATACATAGGCACAATTAAAATTGGTTAAGCAGATGTGTTCTCCTCTATACCCTAATTCGGAACACATAATTTAGATTAGATTAGATTAAAATGAAATGGTGTAAACCTTTTTACAGTGAATAGTAGTATAATACAAGGATAAAGCTAATTAATCTTTTGCTGAGTTGATGAAGATTTTTACCGGGCGGTATAATATTGCATGTATAGTCTGCATGAAGAAAGCCAAGGGAAAAGCACACTGCTTGCTTCTTGTCCAATTTAAAATATTCAAATACCAGACCGTGCAAAATACAGCAAACTTATTTTTGATGATTATGTTGGCATCATATCTAGCTGTGTCCACCAAGCAATTGTATAGTCAAATCCAAAGAATTCACTTCTACTGGCTTGGTGTTAAGTTACTTCCCAGGTAAGTACCATGATTCTCTACATAAATCCTTACGTTCTCATTTCTACGTTGATTAATAGGACAAAGGGGATTCAAGATTGTCCTGCACTCCAAGGCATAGCTTGTATCCATGCCCTTTATATACGACTGGAGTTTGCTCCCAAAACATATAGGCATTCCTTCCCCTCACATCAATTTCACGAGCCTCCTATCCATTCTCATCGATCATCACGAGAAAGCAAGCAAAGATAGAAAAACTCGCATTGGGTTCATCTACGATCTGTTTATATAGCACTACTAAACTATGCACCCCCAGCTATTTCGTCTTATGTTTTGCTGCTTGGAGACCCTAAGCAAGCTAGGAGCCCAGGAGCTGACAACCCAAAAGCACTTCTCAGAAACCCTTCAACAAAACAAACACATGTCCCAATAAGAGCACCTTTTAGACCCCTTTAAAAAACTGAGATTCTCAAAAGCAAAGGAGTTTTATGAGTCAGCACTTACTATCGTATGTTTGGAGTTTTGAAGGTGGAAATAGGAGTTCAGCCAAAAATGACCATCTCAAGGTCAATCCTGCATGTCATTTCCTCTTCGAGTATGTATAATATTTCATTTATTTTTGTGTTTTTTACTAGTTGGAATTTCCTTCGTAGATTTTCAATCGCTCCTTGAAGATTTCTGCTGACTTTTCCTTTACTTTGGAAAATACGGGGACCAATTTTTTCCATAGTAAAAGAAACTTGCTTTGCATTTTCCACCTATCATAATTTCAAAGTAGAAATTGGAAAAGAACATGGTGGGTGTTGACATTGATGCATATATGCATAGTAGAGGGATCCACTAGATTAACGGTTCAAATTAAAAGTTGACTGTATAGCAAATAACCACTCTTGCATTGAGTTGCAAAGAAATTCTCTTACACGAAATAACCACTGTTTGAATTAATAATTCGATGCAAATTTGGAGATTGAGAACAAAAAACTTCAGGAAAGAAGAAGCAAGAAAACATAGGGAAAAGCAAACAAAAAATTATGGACAACATCCATGATTGACTAACTAGTTTAAGCCCATTTGGCCAGCAAAGACATGCAACCAGCTCCGAGAAGAAGAGATATGTTAGCTCCAGCTTGAAGCCTTCCATTGCTCTGCATTTTTGGGTTCATGAAATCAGCTGCTAGCAGATCAACAAGGGACATGTAGATTAAGATACCAGCTGATGCCGCATTAAAAACGCCTTCCATGATGAGTGCAGTCGGGCTGCTTTCGTCATAAACATTTGATATTCCAATTCCGATGCCAATCCCAACTGGAGTTGTAAGAGAGAAGAACAATGACATGATTGCAACAGCTCGATTCTTGAATTTTGCCTACAAAGAACATTAAAAAATATATATCCGATCAACATCCAGTGTTATTTTTGCTCTAACCAACTTGGGTACGAACATATTGACATCAATAGTTGTAGGCAAAAAATTACCTGAGTTATGCATCCACCGAGTCCCATGCCTTCAAAAAATTGATGGAAAGACAATGCAGCTACAAGAGGCTTTATTGTTTTAGGACTTTCAGAAGCACCTAACGAAATTCCTATAATCACAGAATGCACAACAATCCCCAACTCCAAAACCTACCACAAAAATCAAAATTAAATAACTAATTACAAAAATTCACCACTAACTAATCACAAAAAAAAAAAAAAAATATTCAAAAAGAAAATCACCTGTGAAATCACTCTGTGCCTGAGAAGTTCTGTTGAGGGTGAAGTATCAATTGCGCCATGAGCATGGCCGTGAGTTGCATGAGTATGAACATGCACGTGACCCTCATGCTCTTGGGCCTTCTCTTCGTCTGCATCAATATTGTTCTTGAAGTGAGACCTGCTGTAATAAGAAGTGGCAAAAGAATCCACCATCAAAGTCCCAATAGCAGCCATCATGGCCACAAACCCAGTGAAGGGAAATTTCCCCCATGGGTTCTCCTTAAGAGACGGGTCCGTCAAGCTCTCAAAAGCATCCGGGAGCACGTGGATGAACCCAGTAGCCAATATGACCCCGGCTGCAAAGGCCTTGATGATGAAGAATATGTTCCTATCAGGGTGTAAAGCCGGAATGGTCTTCCCAAGAATTGGGATACCAACACCGAGTGCACCAGCGACTAGGATGGATGCAATCGCCCCAATTTTGTATCTTAGAGCTTTGGTTTTGTTCTGGTCCCCATCCCCTTCTTCTTTTTCACAGGTGCACTCGCCGAAAACTAAGGTGGGGAGTATGAAGAGGAGGCAAAAGAATGCAAAACAACTATGCTGTCGAAGTTTGCTCATCGCAGAAAAAATTACCTACTACGAGATGCTAAGAAAAAGTAGACTAGAAATTCAGGGTTTAAAACGCTACTTTATAAAGGCAGTCGAAAATTTAAAAGTACAAAACAGATGAAAGGAGAATCTTACTCCAACGAAAAGGAGTGATCGTAAGAGAATGAAGAAAAAATGAGGACATTCTATGGAGGTTTTGTTTAGGAAGGCAACTTGGTTTTTGAGACCGACTCAAACTGTCATTAAACAACAAGTGTATTGAGCCGTTAGGAAAACTCGATGTTTTAATTTCAAGTGTCGAAACAATGTCGACATAATATGTTGAAGAAAAGGGTAGCAAGAGGTTTCACGCAAAGTCAACTTTTGAATTGATAAATTTGTCAAAAAAATGACGAAACAGTGTGTTACTCAAACTGTCATTATAAACAAGTGTATTGAGCTGTTAGGAAAATTCGATGTTTTAATTTCAAGTGTCGAAACAATGTCAACATAATATGTTGAAGAAAAGGGTAGCAAGAGGTTTCACACAGAGTCAACTTTTGAATTGATAAATTTGTCAAAAAAATGACGAAATAGTGTGTTTCTTCTATTTAATTCAATTAATTTCCCCATCCAAAACGGCCAACGTAGAGGCCTGCACAAACTCTTAATTAATTCAATTAATTATTGCCGCTGATAATTATACGGGAGGGTCTCAATTATTTGAACTTAGATTGGTTAAAAATTATGTTCATATAGACACTGTTTTTTTTTTTTTTTTTTTTTTTAAGCGAGATGGAATTTATAGAAAACCAAATTTTGTTTGTATCTTCCAAATAAACTTTTTTTTTACTATATTGCAAATTTTCCATTGTTAGAGCTATATTTATTATGGCACAGTTTTTAATTTCTTTTTATGTCTATTTTCCTCTCTCATATTTATTAGGTGAATGTTACAACTTTGTTATTGGATAAATTAGAATTAGATGCCTCATTTCAGATTTTTCTAAATTAAACATTTGTTACTTTTCAACTTTTGATTAAAGTGCTTTTACTTTTAATTAAACTTAATATTCCAGGTAATTCTTAATTTAAGTATTTTATAAATTCTTTTAAATCCATTTTTATGTATAAAAAAAAATGTACTCAATAATATTCATTAATTTATTGCTATTTTTATGGAATCTCATCCCTTCCTCAATTTAAGGATTCAATTATATGGGTTCAAGATTAATTGGATGAAATATAGTTTTTCCAATTTCCAACTCAACATTTTATATAGATTATAAAAAAAAAAACAAGAGACATTTATAATTAAAATTGAGATATAGACTAGACTACCTAATTTCAGGCAACTAAAAATAAATATGAATTTTTTAACAACTACTTATAGTAGAAACGTGAACTAAGAGTTTTCACATTTTTATTTTTATTTAAAATGAGTCCTTATTCCAATAATTAATTATTAAAAGTTGACAAAATATTTTTTAGTGCAATGTTTTAATGTGAAAAGTTATCTTTTTTTTTTTTTGGTTACACAACTTATACATAACGTACCATAAGTTTTGTATGTACCAAAATAAGGATAATACAACATACTAATAACTTGGTACGTACTAAATAAAGAATTGCATAACGTACCAAAAGCAATATTTTATAACGTACCAAAATACTAATACGTACCCAGATTAAATTTATATAACGTACCAAATGATTGGTACATTATATTTAATATATTTCTTTGGTACGTTATATTTAATATATATGCGTGTTATATTTCATAATTGTATGTTAATAGGATGTTTATGTGTTTTTAGAATTTAAAACAACAAATTATTTGAATAAGAAAAATTCATTTTGAACGAATTATGATAAGATAAGATAGGATGTATGTGGTGATTTTAGAATATTTGTTATATTATTGTCTGAACTAGTTGGTTAATTAAATACAATAAAAATCATAATTTTTAATTAAAAATTAGAAGAAGAATGTTTGATAAAAAGTTTAAAAGTTATAGATGTTTGATTAAAAAAATTCAAATTTGAGGCATCTATATCAAAATAGCCCCTTTTTTTTTTTTTAATAAAGGAGACCAGCTGCAGTCCACGTATAGGTTGAAATTTTTTTCTCATTACCTAATAATGGAATTGGATCCCATCCGGATCCACTTTGTGAGGATCCTAGAGATCTTCACATCTTAATCATTAATCGTGTATCGTGTGATCAGAAATAATTTGACTTTTTTTTATTTAACATTAAACACAAATAGTATCTGACGAAAACTGATCATACGATGTACGATAAACGACTAAGATGTGAGGATCCCTAAGATCCCCACAAAGTGGATCCGGAGAGGATCCTCTTCCCCCAATAATATTTTTGTTCTTTGCCATTTTTGAGTTGTGGTATCCAATTTTTTTTTGGCTTCTGCCAAATAGGTAGTATTTTCTTCCAATCCAATCATAAACCTACAACAATCAAAATTAATTAATTACACAATTAAATAAAAAATATTTAACCAAAAAAAAAAAATTAAATCAATTGGGAGACAGAGACAGAGACCGAGTGAGTTTTACAGGTTCATGAGCAACGATGTAAGGGTAGGGGGAGAAGAGAAGAAAGAGGAGGGGAGAAAGAGGAAGGCACAAACTTTTTTAATGAATAAAAGTTTGCTCGACGGACCATTTCGTCAGGCAACTATAAGGAAGACGTTGAGCAAAATTTTTGTCGGTAAATTTTTTTACAGGTCATTATGGCCTTTGTCGAACAGCATGAAAACTTGGCTAGACGAAATGGGTGTCGGGTAAAGAAATCAAGCCGACGAACCTATATTTCATCAGACAAATCTTCACAAATTACACGCCATTTTTTCTATTTTGGTGCCAAAAATTTGTCCGATGATATTGTTCTTACCCTACAAAATCCTTTTGCCACGTAAAGATTTTTTAAAAAAACTTTAAATATTGACCAGCTTTGCTCGACCAACTACATAATTCATCAAATAAAATAGCCTAATCTGACAAAATGTGGTTCGTCGGTCAAATTTCATATTGCAAGGATCATTTTTTGGTAGTGCGTTGGAGTGCCATTGTACCAACGAAGGTCCACACATGTTAAAGTTCGTGAAAATGTTGTGCTTAAAAATCATGTAAGTGAATATGTTGGCATGCGTCCATATTATACCAAGAGAAATTCATCGCATCCTTCAATGAGTTCTCTAGCTGGGGTCATATCAGTCAGAGGCACATTAGACCATCTTCAACTCTTAAATTAAAACCTAAAATTTTTAGCTTAGAAAATTTAGGTTTTAGCCCAGAAACAGTTTTTCTGCTCCAATCCTTCTAGTCTAAATTTTTTAGCCTGAGATTATTAAAGAATAAATTTAGGCTAATTTTTTCTTTTGAAGTAATTTTTTTTAAAAAAAAAATTATATACACTATCATAATTTAATTTTATGAACATTTTAACCTCAAAAATATTTAAATTCCGATAAATATTAAAAAAAAATCACTAAATTTGGGTGAATTTTGAGTTAAATAATTTTTTTAATTATTTTAGTCATTGGATTTAAATTTGGGCCGTTGGATCTTTTTTTTAACCGTTAGATTTGATTATATTCAATCTTAGCCATTGGATTCAATAAATACTGAGAGACATGCCCATGTGGGTGGGATCCCGCTGGTGGTGCCCACACCATTTTCTGGACTAAATCCTAGGGGGATTTGGCTTTTGTTTGATTTTTAGCTTCTAGCTCGCATATTTAGCATGAGTTGGGTTTGGGAAGAGAAATAAAATCTAAAAAATAGCTACTTAGTCCAGGATTGAGTTTGGTCTTAATACCCCTATGAACCATACTCGCCAATGATCATAATTTTTTTTTTAATAAGCAATACTAGAATAATTTATATTAAATTACGGGGCAAGAAATGCGAAGAGGGGACTTGAAGTGCAAGAACAAATATTTTAACCCAGTGAGCTACAAGTTATTCACACTAATAATCATAATTAAGATATGTAATTTTCGTTGGTCAATTTTTAACCAAACAACTCATACGTGTGAGTAGAATTCTCTATTCGCATATACGAATTGTAAAAATGCATATATTTAAAACTCGCATATCATCAAAGGTCAGAACTCAATCTACCGTGGATGACTTTGGCATTCTCCATTTTTATATTGGTTGGACACATAGTTAAACAAAGTGGAATGCAGGATCTATTAGTGTAATTACACTAGTGTACCTGCTAAGTTATATGATAAGCACAAACTAATTAAGATTGAAACGTCATGTATAGAGACCGTTAATGTCCTGGCAACTATATATGCAGAGCATTACTGGAGAAAGAACACTCGTAAGATATGGTTTAATCTAATTGACCAAAAAAAAATCTAATTAATCAAGTTCCATGTTACCAACCAAACCAAACCCCTCACATCACGTCACATGAACTAGATATTTTTCAGTATGATCATCATACGATGTGATACATCACGTGTCCTTATATAAATGATGGGTTATGTGTGTTAAAAGATTAATAACTTAATAATTAAAATTTTCCACCACTTGCATAAAAATACGTGAGGTACAAAACTGTTTGATTTTAATTTTAACGGTGAAAGAATACAACAAAAAAGTTAAATAAGCATACTGTCTAATTAAAATTAAACTGTGAATGACTATAATTTTTTTTAACCATATTGATCTACCGGAACAAAACTGTTCATGTATATCCATTTGAGATGAAGGCCGAAGGAAAGGGAAAGGGATCATCTCTGGATCTCTTCCTCCTAACCCATTAAGTTCGGGGATCTAGACTATTGAAATTTGATCCAACTACTACAAATAGGAACTCACTTTAAAAGTTATAATAATTTTAACCGTTGATCAAATTTCAATGATCCAAATTTCTGAACTTAATGGACCGTATCCCTTTTCGAAGGAAAGGACCAAATCTAGCAGCTATGCATGTGAGTTTCTATTGGAAGTATTTTGCGACTTAATTGACTGACAACTTCCTGCCAATGAAGTCAACCTGATTGGGACCAGTGGAATCAAACAAGCTCCTGATAAATTTATTGCTGATTACGTTTTGGCACCTGTTACTGTTAGTATTCAGTCAACGGTTGTTTAAGGCGAGAATTTTATATTGATTATATTGTTTTTTAAATGGACAAAGATTAGGTGAGGTACCAACCCTTGGTTTTTTAAGTGAGGACTATTACACTTAGAAATTCCACGCCCGTCCCTCTTTCAC